CGGGACTAGAGGAGGCCTAGAATCGCGGTGGAGAGAACAAGAGAGGAGAACAGAAGAAGAGACCGCTCCGTGGAACTGGTTCCGTTCCATGGATCACTGGAAACAATCATCCTTATTAAACTCACCACCGGCCCACCCCGCGGATATAAAGGCATCCTTCGGAATGATTTACCGAGAAGCGCGTCGCGCGGCCCTTTGAACAGGTGGATCCCTCGAAACGCGACGCGAACGGACGATAAATTTTATGGATCCACTGGGCGGATAGATTGAGAACGCGCACGACGGGGGTGGCCGCGCGCGATATTCCGCCGAGTCAGGTTTTCGAAGCGAATGCGGGACGAAATGGCGCCCGGCTAGTCGGAGTAATTAAGAAATGGAAAATCATCAAAGAGTTTTGTTATATAATTAGCTAAGGTATCCCTCGACATTCAAAAAAATAAGTTTAAATAATTATACTGCAATAACTTGACTTTTTTCTTTAACGTACAAATTTCCAACCATTAATTATAGAACACGTATTTAAAAAATCGAATAGCAAGACGAAGCGCTGATTAAATTTTGTCAATCACATCGACGTTGATATGAAAACTGACTGAATGCCACGTTCGAAGTAATCGCGTTTAAACACGTCATACGTGTTAACATTTATGAAGTTATTAATTAGCTATGTCGTTCACCAGAGAAAATAAGTAGCTGGATATTTGAAAAGATGACAAGGTTTCATCACTTTAACCGCGCTTCGTCTCTCTCTCTCTCTCTCTCTCTTTTTCTCTCCTGGAGTTTACAACCGGGATAAAAAATTAAAACCAACACGGACAGATCTGGACTGGTTGGACCGCTCACGGTCGAACGATTAGTCCGTCGCCGTCGGTCCATCGTCGGTAGCAGTATGGACCCGAGCCGCAACACTCCAATCTAAATTAGATCTTAAGAGCCCGTAAAGGCAAGTGGCCACGCTCTCTCGCGAGCCTACGTGGCAAGCCGGCTTTAAGTGCTATATAAACAGGACGAATCTGGTAATCCGTGCGCTCCCTCGCAAATGCCACTCGAACCTTATATTCGCGGTTCTCGCAAAAAGCCCTTACTTATCTGTTATCGCATTTGGAAACGGCATTCCACAAAATGTTGTCCTGTCGTCAACAGCTTGTTCGGGGCTATCTCCGTCTAATCTTTGTCAGTATCGTGGACAAAATTGGCCCTTTCGGTAACGAAAAAATAGAGAAATGGAAAAATTGAAAGCGAACAAAAGTAAAAATACAAGAATAGAAAGAAAAATTATAATTAATAAAAAAAATAATTAGGAGAGGAAGAGATTAATTTACACAAAGAAAAAGAATTTTTATTAATGAAATAGTAAAAAGAAATGATAAATAAATAAGTAAAAATACGAAAATATAAAAAAGCATTCCATTTATGGGTGAGAGAATGTCTACAAAAAGTTAAAGTCACGAAGGACCCAAAAGAGAGCTCGCTCGATTACTCTCGGACCGATTTGCTGATCGAAAAATAAACGATGAATATAAGAGAAATGTTTATCGATATCCAATTCGATGTACACGGTCCGCCGCCGTGCGGGAACACGTGTCTTTTATTGGCGAATGAATTTTCATTCGCGACGTCCAGGAAGTTAAGGCCGCACTAGCATCTTCTTCAGGATCTCATCGATATACATATATTTCGATAGGTCCCAATCGCATGTCTGCCCTTATATGTAAAGGCACGCTTAATGAATATGCGTCGTGTTCCACGACTTTACTCTCTTCTCTTTCTCTCTTCCTTTCTCTCTACCTCTCATTCTCGTCAGGCTAGTCAATAAAACTAAGCGACCATAAAATCCAATTAGCGCGAAATTAATACTACCACACGGCGAAATAGCGGAAGAAACGGGGGATCAATTTATCCTACGAAACAGCAGAAAACGTCGAGCAATTTTCCGTAGGCAGGAAGCCCGTATAAGTGGACAAGGAATAAATTAATACGGGCGACGCGAATGTTATTAGAAACCAATCAAGTCAATTACCGGTTGTTTTCTTAAGAATAAAAGGAACTTTTATGGCTATAAATAAATAGGTGTCGGCTTTATAAGGAAGTACATGTTTATTACGAAAATAATACACTTGGTGATTGAAAATCCGACAGGTGTCAGTACTCGCAACGCTATTAAATTACGAAACTTTATTGCTTTTAAATGCGTACAAGTCCATTTCACTATTTTAACGAACAGCAAAATAATAATTCTCGCCTCTTTCAAATCCACAGTCAAAAATTATCTGTGCTTTTCTTATTCATTAATTATTCTTCGTATAATTGAAATTGATTTCTTAGAAATCGTCACGCTAATTTTTAACTCATAGCTACAAAGATTAAGTATCTTTCCCAATATTGTTCATCACAGATTAGAAATTTTCAATTAATTCTCTTCTAAAAATTTATTCTAAAAATCTTTTTTTATTACACGGAAAACTCGTTCGGAATCGCCTTGTTCTCCTCTTCTGAGAGGTTCGGTTCTAATTTTGCTAGATAAACGAAGGGGATTTGTATTTTACTCGTTAAGGCTATCTTCGTCGCAGTTTCACGCGTGCATGAATGTGTAGCTTGTCTCGCCATACTCGCGAATACATCTCCAACCCTGACCGTACACCACGGACACTCTACCTGCTTCACCTCTCTCTGCATACTCCCTACCATCTTCGTTAATTACGAGAACCCATACCGTGGCCGCAGGACCGGACCTATTACGAGCGATTACACCGCTATTAGTTACCTACCGGGTGTTCCACGGCGCGGAGGAAGGCAGTAAAAAAAAAAAAAAAAAACAAGAAGAAAGAAAAAGCTACCCAGATAGATTGCGCTGCAGCCCAATGGCGGCGCGATATACTGTACGTATGTAACTGGACCCGGGTGTGCAGGGGACTTAATAATGCAAAACCGTCGTTCTGCGTCTACAGATGGGAATTTGCATGAGGATCGTCAGTCTGGCTGCAGGAAGGCCCGATGATCGATGTATCGTTCCACGAATTTACACTCGGATTTAGCAGACTTGCATGGATGGATAGGTGATTTATTTTAGAATCTACCATGGATTCAGATTAAAGAAGGAAACGTACATCATTATTCAAAACTACGTTTAAAAGAGCTTCAAAGGGTTTTGTTTTCAAGACTTTCGAGTTAACTTTAATTTCGTCCTTCTTTTTCTAAAATACGTACTATAAAATGTATATTTTTATGTCAGAATTATTTGTATAAATGTGTAGCACTAGAAAAACATTAGCAAACTAGAAGAGATAAATTTAAATGAACGTTCCATATTATTAAGTAAAATAAATATTAATTATCTTATATTCTTAATATTAATTTAATATTTCTCAAACTCTTGTTAGAGATACAAAAATCTGATAAAAAATTATAGTAAAAGATAATTATAGTAAAAGATATATATTAATCTTATCGATCGTTGCACTCGACAAGTAATCGCTTTTTTGCTGCTATCTGAAGGTTAGATTAGTCATTCCTGCCTAAGCTGGAGCCTAAACACTAATTATTTTTTTTAAGATTTTCGATTATTTCCCATTTAAAACTTTAGTATTTAAGGTCCTGCGTTAACACGCATTAAGGATATCTTTAAAACACGATATGCTTATATACCTACTCGTTGTCTCCCAGCCGTCACCCGGTCATCACTATTTCGAGACTGTCTCAGGTAGTATATACACTTAGGATAACCAGATTTCTTTTATAACCATGCTCAAGGACTACCTGTGCACCCATCGTAAATATCTTCCGGTGGAGAGCATTTTTGAAAAAGAATTTTGTACGTAGCGACGTTATCGGCAATAGCCAGGAGAGTGCACAGGAGTCAGACAACAAAATATTTGGGTGGAAGCCGATAATCGGTCTCTATATTGTATCTAAATTCCGTTACTCTTCCGAACGTGGACCCTAAAGCCTGATAAATGCGACTAGACACCTTGCCTATCGTCTGGATCCACGGGAGGTACACGAGCTTCCTATCCCGTCACCGAGATATACCATAAGCTCTTAGTCGTCTAGGATTGTCTTCGAAAGACAGATCGTAACTAAAATAGCTTTGTAATAATTGATCTTTGTTCAAATTCTCTTGTGAAACATTATAGAATAACTGTAAAATCAAATTAGCCTCACGTTTTCTAATTTCATGCATTTCTTGTATAGTATTTCTTGTATAATAATGACATTCAAATAATCCTAATAAAAACAAATATAAAAATAATTATAATAAAAACGCATTTTTCGTTACATTATTTAAGATATTCGTAAAAAAATAAAATAAAAACTAATTCGAGATCGAAAGGCTCAGCACTTTTAAGTAGAGTTTTAGTTTTAAGTGATTATTAATTTATTAATGCTAGATTACCATCTATTAATATTCTACAGCGAGCATATATATTTTTAATAAACATATATAATAAAAAAGTCTTAAAATATTTTTTTATTCTGACATAGAGAATTATTTCATGTTATTCTGTGTCACTATTTATTTGGTGTTTTAATTGTATTTTAATTGTGGCTGTATATTGTACAAGGAAAGAACGATTTTATTGAAGTATCTAAAAAATTAAACATAGATCTGAAAATATTTTGTTTAGACCATCTAAATAATTATGTAGAACGCTCAAACGGGTTGAATGTCAAAACGTTTTAACATTATTATTAATACTTAAGTGTTTTACATGATATTATTTTGATGGCCCAATAAAATTATTTTCAGATGTGTATCAGCTAAATTTTTAAATACTTTAGTAAAATTATATATCTATATATAAGACTGATATTTGCAGTGTTATCTATATGCATTTAATTTAGGAGAAATTTTGATTTACTAAAATCACGACGCCTGTAGTCTTTGCATACCAACTTTTCAATTCCAAATAAAATTCCATCTAAATGAACTCACCCCGGCCATTTGAGTTAAGATAAAGCTCGAGATTATTAGAACATTGCTTGATGATCAATCGACTCACCTCGTAAACACATCTGGATAATGCGTCCTAGAGAAGGCCTTTTCAAGCTCTTCCAACTGAAAGCTAGTAAAAGTCGTTCTGTAACGACGTTGCTTTCTCTTGGGCGCAAAGTCGTCGGCCTCCGCTTCGCTTTCGGGGCTGGTCGGTGCCGCTCTCGGGTGGGTGCCCTCTTCCTCGGGCCTTACCTCCTCGGTAGAGATACCCATTTGAGTGGACTGAGATGTTGTCGTCGTCGTCGTTGACGCCAGCACTGATTGCTGGTGAGACTGCGGGTGAGACTGCTGGCTCACCTGCTGGTTCACCTGAGTCACCTGGCTCGAATTGCTCGTGCTGCTTGCAGGACTCGTCTGCGGGACGGCCTGCTCGCTGCCTCCTCGCGACGAATGATCTGCATAGACAAATAAATACGTTACTCTTGAACATAGGTATAATTTTGTCATTTATACTCATTTAAGAAATCCATTTAGTTGAATTAATTAATTTCTAGTTTGGATATGGGCAAACAAATCCTTGGTTGATGCAATAAAATAATTTAGTTGAAGCTATTAGGTTATTGTAAACGACTTTATCAGATGTCAATATTTATCAGAAACGAATGAAATGTTGTAATAACCAAATGCTTTGCTTTAATTAAATTATTTTATTGCATCAATTAATTTCTTGTTTGGATATGGACAAACAAATCCTTGGTTGATTCAAATGGGTTTCTCAGTGTACTAACACAAATATAATATTATTACGGATATCACAATTCGGGTCTTGTATAAACTGCTCGGATCACGAAATTCAGCATAATTTTGGTAAATTTAAATTTACTTCATAAATAAAAGACTATTATTTATGAGATTTATCAAATGATAATATAACTTAGATTATAATTTTTTATAAATTATATTAGGATTTTAATCTTTTTTAGTGTATAATTTTTACACCCACCGTCATAATCATTGCGATTCGTCTGTTTTATAAAAAAAAAACGCGGTAGATTATTTATGTGTGCAGAATAGGTAATTTTAAATGCTTTCGGATGATATTGCAGAAATAAAAATAAAAACAATATCATTAAGTAATAATGATAATTAAGTAAGATTGGAAATAAAATCTTTGATCATTAAAGTTCTATCTGTTAAAATTATAATTCGCACATATGAAGAATTTTACAGATTTTGTTGAAATCACAGATGTTAGTTCATACATTTACACATGTTTTAAATCTTTGATTTTTGTACATATATTATTATAAATGTTATAATACTCCAATATCATAACAATTGTTTAAAATATAGTCTAAAATCTGTAAAATTTTCATTATCTAATTAACTTGTGGTGTAAACGTAATCTCACTTGATAATGTAAAAATTTAATTTTTCTAGCTACTATGATTAATCACTTTACCATTACAAAATCACTAATTTAATAATTTTGTAATGGTAACTTTGAGTTATTCATTACAAAAGAGTATGAGTTGGATGATTAATCATAGATAGAAAAATACAATTTTTACATTATCATCAAATTAAACTTAACGATAAATTAATCAGATAATGAAAAACCAGGCCTTATAAGAGTCTGTAAGGTAAAAATTTATAGAGAGCTAGGATATATGTGTATATCATTAATGAATCGATTGATACCTTGGATAAATAGAATGAATAGGATAAAACTATGCTCTTGTTAAAACCATCTGCTCGCGACTGAAATGCGAACGTATTATAGTGTGAAACGATTCATCAGTTGTCACGTGAAGCGGCGACCACAACTTATTATCAGCAACGATCAGATTCCACGAATGGTCAGGGAAATCGTTGCGGTCTAGTTTCCGCTATGAGTGGATTTAAACGACGGCCTACTCGATGCACCAACCATAAACTATAAACTATTTCAAGATTTGGAATTTCCGCGCTTCAAATTTCCGCCTTGGTGGAAAGATTTACCGCTGTATAATTAAGCTAACCTTTAATGCGACTGTTAGTCCAAAAGTTTTACATGTCTAAATAAAAACCAGCTTTGAATGATTTCTTTCTAGCATGCCGAGTATCTTCTTTATAATCAATGACAAGAGAGATGTATCAACATAATATTATCGATTAATTGTTGTCATATCAAGAAAATACATTTTTCACAAGTATTACTCGTATTTTTTTTTATAATTATAAAAGTATCTGTACTAAAATTATTTTAATTCGTTATTTCAATTCGTAAATTGTATTGAAATTAAATTTAATCTGATAAATATTTTTTTGTTTAATGAAAACTTTTTAATGGGGTACCTTTTTAAAAAAGTATATCGTATACATTAAAAAATATTAATATATTTACAAATAAAAATACTTCTTGCGTAACAAGATTATTTTCAACAATGAGAATAGAATATTTTAATACAAAAATTAAAATGATCTAACTGTACAAAAAATTTGTTGCATTACATTAAAATAATTTAAATACTACATCCAAAATAAGTCTGCGTGTAAATCATATTTGTTGTCTCGAGAACGTCTTTGTGAATGCTAAAAAAATCATACTGATGTAAGTTATGTGCAAGTTACCCTTTTCAAAAAATATGAAAGAAATACGTATTGCGCAGATTATAAATTGAACAAAACGATATGATCACTTCTCTCGAGCCCTTATTCATTTTCAAACACAACCCTTTTAATCACGTGCTTCCCCCCTGCATCTTCCAAACCTGTCGCGGTTAATTGTCGCACATTGCAACGATTAAGAAAATTATTAGAAAAAGAATAATTCAACACACTCGCGCAGAGCGTGATAAAAATGCTGACAAAATCGCTTTTGCGATAAAAATGAAAAAAAAATTGTTATTCGCTCGATATCAATGTCATCCGTCATTACATGATTGCGTATAGTGTAAACAATTTAAATGAAGTCATTGCATTGAAAAAGGATGCGTAAAAGTTTCTTCTCAAATAGAAATGATACAACTATTATTAATTAAAAAAAATTTTTAGCTATACCTAATGATTTTAAATAATCTTACATGCATACATCGAAGTTGAAATTTTTTGTCAGTATTTAAATCAGGTTCTCCCTTATTTCATAAAGCTGAGTTAATTAATTTTCTGTAATAACGATACATGTCTACTTAATATAATATTAAAATGAATATCAATTTTAAATACATAAGGCGATCTGACGAGATAGAAAATATAAGGATGTACGTATGATTTATTATCACATATGTGTATCAAAAAGAGGCGAATTAAAATAAATAAATTTTAAATATAAATGTTGACATACGCGCGCGTGCGGCAGAGGTATCACTCCTTTCACCGCGACTTCACCTCGTAGGAATTAATGATTTCTACGAGCCCGCACCTTGGCATGATCGCAATCTCGCCATCGTGTAACGGCGTTCGATATTGCTTGTAAACTTGTAACGGAATCGTTGGTAATAAATATCCATCAACCAATGGTTTTGAAGCCGGATTACAAAGTAACTATTGAACTAAAACATGAATGAAAAGACTAATAATTGCTAGGATAAAATATTAAAGATAGTCATTGAACAATTAATATTAATTTAAATTAAATTATTGAATACTTTTAAAAGAATAATTTTGCAGTATATTCTATTGATTAAACAGAGAATTATTATGAAATGCGTAAATACAAATATATTGATAGTTAAAATATACTTCTCTAAATCATAAAATTAAATATGTCAAAATGTCTTTTTATATGATATTTAAATTGTATTTATTTATTCTCGAATTACTGCTTTCTTTTCTATTTGTCTGGATAGTTACATAGATCATTTTAAATCTTGCAAGAAATTTAATTTGCAACGACTGCGAGTATCCCGTCACGTTTCGCGCATATCGGTGAAACATAACTCTTACGTACTTCGATATACGCTCATATGTGAAGTCTTTAGAGAAAACGGCAGCCGATCGAGTAAATTTCTAGAAGCGGGCAGTTCGATAGAAAGCGAGGGTCGAAAAGACGGGCGCGGGATGGAGGAGGGAAGGATCGAAGTGGTTTACGCGGTTCTTAAGCGGCAGTTTTTAATCGAGTCAATTTATCGGAAATGAGCTTATAATGCAGGTAGCCTCGACGTAATGCCGATAATATACAACGGGCCTAAACCTCGCCGGATTTTCCTTTTTGTTCACGTATACTCACGATGTGTGCAACTACGAGTTCATCGACGCGCAAAGAGAGAAGGTAGAGAAAGAGAGAAAGAAGGAAAGAAAAAGAGACATGGAGTTAGAAAAAAAAGAGAAAGAGCGAGAGAGAGAGAGAGAGAGAGAGAGAGAGAGAGTGGGACGTGTAGGAAGCCTTTTACATTATAATAGCATTAATAGAGCCTGAGGCCGCACTTAGCGTTCACTCGCCGGCCAATTCGCCTCGTCGTTATTAACTGAAAATTACCGAAACCGAAATCTAATTCACGTAAATACTATAATTTCACCGCATGCCGAGGAATCAGGAGTCGCTCTCTAAGCGCTCGCTCTCTCGTATTCTTTCCTTATATGATAAGGCACATTAAATTCTTTAGCTTGATCGAACGGGTAAATACACTCGCGAGATCACGCATCTGTGTATCGATCGTGCTGATTTTTTTATCTTTAGTACCATTTATTCTGCATCGATTGATGAGAGTTAACTTCATTTTGCAAAAATAATGAAATTAACGTAAGGAACGCACAGATATATATAACAGTTAATTGCAGTTTTTAATGAGTTTTTTTCTACAGGATAGATCAATTATAATTTACAAAAAATATTCTATAACATAATTGCATTACAGAAATCAATGGCATTAGTTCTATTACACACTCACACATGAAAAGAATAATTTTGCTAAAGTATCTACACTCTAATAAATATCGATATGAATTTAACAACATGAGTATAATTTTCATCATGTATTAATAATAATAATATTAATATCAACATGGTGTAGATTTAAAATCCCTATATTTATACCAACACCATCGTAATGATTTAAAATGCGTGGTGTTAAATCTTCTTATTGATGTTAATATTAACACTATATATAACACTGTGAGAATTATATAAACATAACTTGGTGTTAAATCAACATTGACATTTTTTAGAGTGTAAAAATTTAGAGAGAGAGAGAGAGAGAGAGAGAGAGAGAGAGAGAGAGAGAGAGTCTAAAAATCATTTTATTAAACAATCAAAATAATTATATAGGATAGGTACAGCTAGAAGTTACTAGAAAACCAAAACTTTTTGCAGTATTGTTCATAATACTTGAGCGTTCTTCATAATTATTTTGAATTTAACAAAATAATTTTCAAATCTGTATCTATAGCTAAATTTTTAGATATTTCAACAAAATTATTTTTTTCTATGTATATATACTCTTTATAGAAATTTTTTTTATTCCATATACATGCA